GGTGGGAACATTTATTTTGGCTCAGTTTCAGAAATTTTGTCCATATTTGGCTGACTCCATTGCTCTGGGCCAAAGGTGAGGCAGAACATGGCAGAAGGGTGTGGTACAGGAGTGCCTCAGTTCAAGACTGGTTGACTAGGAAGTGGGGTGGGGGCAGGGAAGATGCACCCTTCCAGGGTACCAGAGACACAAATCCTCCAGCCATGCCCCACCTACCTACAGAGAAACAGCTGAGGTGCCTGAAACAGAAAGAGCAAGATGAATGAATCGATAAGAGGCTGGAAATGCAGCCAAGGGCAACAGCCTTGTGGGCTGTGATGAAGAGTTTGGGAAGCTACTAGTAATTATAAACAGGGTAGTAAAAGGAGATTAAATATCTTTTAAAAAGACCACTGGACACTCAGAGTATGGATAGGTTAGAAAGAGGCAGAGTAAAGGCAGAGAAACTATTTACAAGGATATTTAATAATCCAAGCAAGAGGTAACTGGGGCAGTCAGTGGAAATGAAGAGAAGTTGATGCACTTATTAAGTATTTATCATATAGAACAGGTAAGACATACTGATGCACTGAATGAATTAGTGAGATTATTAATGAAGAGACTAAAATAGGGAGATTCAAGAATACAAAGATCAGCATGTGCTACAGAACAGTGGCTTCCTGGAGGGGGCAGAATGAAAGCTGGTCTTGAGATATGAACCAACTATGGCTAAGGAAAAGTGAAACAGTTGAGATCCTGTATCAAACAATCAATAAGGTTGAAATTAACTTCCTGTGTATTTAGGAGCTCATGATGAACTTGCCTGCTAGCTTTGGTGAGGGTATTGGTTGTTGAGAATCCAGCAAGATCATGGGGAGTTAGATCGAAAATCCCAAAAAAGGTGAAACTGTACCCTCTCCCTGCCTAATGTCAAGGATAATGGTACCTTGGGCTTCCTTCCAAGCTAGCTGGCCTTAAGCCCTTTCTCCAAGTTCTATGCCTGGACTCAGGCACCCATCTTACTACTAGCCAGGAGAAGACAAGAGTCTTTACTGGCCTGACCAATGTCAAGGTGATTGGTGAGTAGGATAGGAGGTGGAACAGATCCTGACCACATTTAATGTCCCTGAAAAATATGGCAACACCTAACATTCTATAAATGTCTCAGACAACAAGTAAATTATCCCATAAACTCTGAATGGAGGCATCAGTCTTTCTCTGCCAAAGGTGGTGGGGTTTTGCCAACACCAGATGGGAAAGCACCTCCAGGGCCACCAGACCCACCACCCACCACCCATCCCTAGGGATCTACCTCTACAACTTCTTTTTGTCCTCTTCCTCCACCCAGCAATTTATAAGCCTAGCCTTTCCTGCCTCTACCAAGAAAGAAGGTATACCCTCAAACTCCACAACAGGAGCTCCTGTTATACCTATAGAGGAGGCCTGGATTTTCAAATTCTAGACTCTCTACCAGGCTCTACTAAGATAATCAGGCTTATATCCTCAGGCCCTGTCACCTGTGACTTTAACGGGTAATTTAATTTAACCTGCTATGTGGTTCCAGTTCAACTATAAGCTCTAGAAAGGCAAGTATACTGTCTCATACAAACTTGTCCCTAACAGCTAACACAGTGAATATTTAGAATGCATTTACTGAACAAATGAATAAATGACTGGCCATGATGTAGATTTGGGAAATGGTACACAAAAACTACTCAATATCTTAGCAGTTTCCTTGGAGGTATGCTGACATCCTTCATGGAAACAACTGCCTTTTACTTGATTGTGTATAATGGTGCTGGGTAGATTTCCCATATTATCTCATTTAATATTCAAAAAACATCCACCATTCACAGTAAGCATTTTTTTTTTTTAATCTTGAGACAGGGTCTCACTACTGAGTTGCTTAAGGGCTCACTAAGTTGCTGACACTGGACTCAAACTTGCAATCCTCCTGCTGCAGACTCATAACTCATTGGTATTACAGACGTGTGCCACGTTGGGCTTACAGTAAGCATTCTTATTCACATTTAACCAATGAAGAAAATAAAGGTCAGGCAACTTAAGGTCACACTGCTAGCAAGAAGTGTGACTAGGGCTGGGGATATAGCTCAGTTGGTAGCATGCTTGCCTCATATGCACAAGGCTATGGGTTCAATCTCCAGCACCATTAAAAAAAAAAGAAGAAGAAGAAGAAGTGTGACTGACCAGTGCTAACTGACCACAAAGCCCTCATCTTTACAGATCACAGTCCTATAGTACTTCTGTGGGCAAAGTCCCTGGGTCTTCTACCTATCATTAGGGAGGAGAATATGACTCTTTAGTTCACTCTTCCACCTTAATAGGAAGCTGTTTATCAGATTAGTAACCTGCCCGTTCTCACAGCAGATAGCAGGGTTCTGGGGAAACAGAATTGGGCCTTTTGTCAAGACCAAGGACATAGAGATGTTCCAGGCTTTGTAACAGGGAAACTGCTTTGTTTATTTACAGTTTTCCTTCCCCAGAGGAAACTGTAATGTGCCCTTTGACATCAATGTCAGCATACATTAATGGAAAAATACATGATTTGAAGCCTGATAGACATGGATTTGAGTCCTAACAGGATCTGTGCCCTTGGACAGACCTCTTAGCCTTTCAAGGTTCAATTTCTTCAGATGAAGAATAGTTTAATGCCCCCTCCTTCTGGGGGTATCTTGAGCACTGAATGAGATGACATATTTAAAGAATTCATTCTAGAACTGGCACCCAGAAGTTCTCCTGGCAAAAGTTATTCCTGGTTCCAACTGTCAGATGAGCAAAGTGAGTTGCCAACAGACTAAATAGCCTACAACTAGGAGAAGAGGGTCAAAGTTCTTTTCACTACTTGTTGTTGTTGATTCCTCAAAGGCAAAAATAGGTTGCTCACTTACCACTGAGCTACATCCCCAGTCCTTTTATTTTTTGAGACAGGGCCCTGCTAATTTGCTGAGGCTTGCCTCAAACTTGCAATCCTCTTGTCTCAACTCCCAAGTTGCTGATAATGTGGCATGTTGCCACTGCACCTGATCCCTTCCCCCAAATTCTTATCCTACCTATCTCTTAGTACACAAATCAGACTGATCATCATAAAGCCATGGAAAGTATCATAGACAGAATGAGAGATATATAGAATTATTTCCACAAGCAAGACAAGCCCTCTCCTGTTGGCATAGAATTATGACTCATCCAAGCTTTTTTATGAGGGCCAGATGCTGAGCATGTCAGAATTGCTACAGATTGCTTCTTCTTCAGTGTATGTTAGTGGTAGGGAGGAGAACAACCAATATCCATGTGCATTTATACACTTAACCAGGAAATGTGTTTATATTGTTTTCCAATCAGGATTTACCACAAGCCAGGAGTACCACACCTAATGAGTTGGCCAAACCCAGCCCATTGTCAACAGAGAAAAGTCCATCTCAAACATAAAAGATTTTAAATCAAAATGGATGTTAGAAGAGCATGATTCTTGGCACTGTTGAATAGCTGCAATTGTCTCAAGCAGGGAAGAGAGTAAATGATGGTTATTTTGGGGCTCAGACTTCATATTAGATGCTTTAGGAGACAAGAGACTATCAGGGAAAACAGAACTAGGTTGGGAGGGCCAGAGAGGTAGAGAAACAGCAAGACCTATTTTGTCTATAGAGAGCTAAGGTGCTCAAGGGACACCAAATGGAGGTGCTTAAGCAAGTGACTTCAGTGTGAAAATCTGATGTTTGGAGAGGGACAAGAAGAAGAAATAAATCTGACAAACACCAGCATTTACATCATTAAAACTATTGTGACAGATGACCTCACACAGGAAGAATATGACAAGGGAGAAAAAGTAAGGTTCTGGGATGGACACTGACCATTAAAATTAGGTAGAAGAACCCATGAAGGTGACTGAAGAACAGATAGAAGAGTATGAAGAAAATCAAGAGGTTATGGTGCCTTGGAGGAGGGAAGGAATACCAGTATCAGATACTTCTGAGTAGTCAGGGAAGATAAAGATTCTAAGTGATCTAGATATGCATATCAAGACCTCCAGGTTTCCTGGGAGGTGTCATTGAGAATGATCATAAGAAAGAAGGGCAGGCACTGGGGGGAGGGGTTGTAGCTCAGTGGTAAAGGGCTTGCCTAATATGTTTGAGGTCCTGGGGTCCATCTCAGCACCGTTTAAAAAAAAGAGAGACTGTGCTGACTTTCGTCCTTTCTCTTCCAGTCCCAGTGCTACAGGACCCAAACCTTTTAGCCTGGCCTTGTAATGATAAGGGTTACAAACCACCAATATAGCAAACATACCACACCCAGGAATCCTAGGAAAGGTACAGTGCTGATGCATCCCTAACCGTTTGACCTTGAGCAAGCCACAGTTCCTTTACTGGTCTCAGTTTTCACATTAGTATATAAGAGGGTCAGAGGGTATCATCTTCAAGGGCCCCCTTCCAATCCCTGCATTCCATGATCCAATCAACTCCACAGAAACAGGCTCTTGCCTAACTTTTTTTTGAGTGGGGAGCATTTAAAAATCTGGCTTTCTGATATAAAAGCTTGCTCAGAGATTACAGGTTATGTGTTCAAGTAGCCATGGGAAAGAAAGTGCAAGGCCTACTTAAGTGGCTCCCTAAATCCACACCCAGGTACAGGACCTACAGTCACCTAAATTTCAAACACAATGATGAGAGGATAACACATTGAATTAATACCTGATTTCACAGAAAGTCCTGCCCTTTAAGCCCTTCTTTGGTGTGGCTGAGCAAGGAAAGAGCATAAAAGCCCAAGATTGGCAATTAGACCCAGTTTAAAATCCCCAATTATGAGCTCTGTGACGTCAGGCAAACTATTTAGCCTGTCTATTGTACTGCTTTTCCCTACTGTAAAATAGGGATAATAGTACCACTTCTCAAGATTAATATGATGATTAAATGAGTTAATATTTATAAAGTACTAAGAATAGCACCTGACACATAAGAAACATACAATAGCTATTAAATAACACCATCACATATGTAAATACTTACATAAACTGTTTTGCTCTGTGTCTGTGTTCTGTCTTTGGGGGTACCAGCTTCGTCTTCCACACAGATAGCCCTCAGGTACCTCCTCATGCTAGAAAAATGGATCAACAATTCTAGTCTTCAAATCTTCACATTACATCATATAGGGGAAGAGAATCACATTTATTTTAATTGCTGCCACAAAAAGAAAGGATGCTTTTCTTTCCAAAATGTGTTTTCTTCTTATTTACTATAGCTGAGTAAATAGCAGAAGGAACCCATCTCTGAAGGTAGAATTTGATCAGTCCCACCCAAAACTCTGGCTTAAGAGTAAAACAGTGGCCAGGCATGGTGATGAACACCTGTAATACCAGTGGCTCAGAAGACTGAGGCAGGAGGATCACAAGTTCAAAGCCAGCCTCGGCAATGGTGAAGCGCTAAACAACTCAGTGAGGTCCTATCTCTAAATAAAATAAAAACAGGGCAGGGGGTGGGCTGGGGTTGTGGCTTAGCAGTAGAGTACTCACCTATGTGTAAGGCCCTGGGTTTAATCCTCAGCACCACATACAAATAAATACCTAAAATAAAGGTATTGTGTCCAACTACAACTAAAAAATAAATATTAAAAAAAATAGGGCTGAGGATGTGGCTCAGTGGTCAAGTGCCTATGAGTTCAATCCCCAAAACCAAAAAAAAAAAAAAGAGTAAGGCAGTGGACAGGTCTCCAGAGGAAGATTAGGGTATGATTTGACCAGTGAATGGAATGGAAGATGTTCACTACAACTCTATGAGATATCTCAAAGACACAATTCCCATCCTCACAAAGCTCCTAGAGAAGGAGACAGTTGTAACACAACACAAAGAGACCTCTAAGGGTGAAGGGGCCTAAAAGAATAGGAGTGAGGAGTTGTCCCTAAAATTCCAAAACAGGGTGACTTTTGAAGGATAAGCTGAATGAACACAGCTTAAATTTGCTAAGTTGCTGAGGCTAGTTTTGAACTTGTGATCCTCCTGCCTTAGCCTCCCCAGTTGCTGAGACTATGAACATACATGTACCACCACACCCTGTGAAATTCTCTAACACCCTGCAGTGACAATGTAAATGACATGTCATCAAGCACCAGTTTTTAAAATGCCAATGATCTTTCTCCAGAGCAATTATGGTAAGTTTATATTAATATTATGCATTGTAAGCTAAAAGTAGTCTGAACAGCAAAGAAACAATGTTGACACCTTTTGGGGAGAGATTGATTTAGAATTGTTTTTTTCTTCATTTGTTGTTAAAATTATTGTTTACTACACCAATTGTTTAAATTACAAGTACATACTGAAGATGTGATCAATACTCTCTGAGCCATGGTACCTAGGAAACCCTTGCCCTTTAAATCTAAAATATAATGGGATGACCCTGTTTGAGAATTCTTCTCTCATCCTTTCCTATCACCACCTCCCTCCCTAGGGGTAATCATTATTAATAATCGGGAGCATAGGCTTCCAAATCTTTTTTAATGCATACAATAATATTCTTTTTACAAATATAATTATAAAAATTACTTTCTAAATTCCACATTTAGATGTTACTGACATTTTTCCATGTTAGTACATAAACAGTTACATTTTTATTGCAAAGTGAAAGTATTCCATTATTTATTATTTATTTAGTCACTTTCTTAATGATGGACATTTAAATTGCCTGTTTTATACAAATTCAAAAATGATATAATAAAAATATTGAATATTTGTCCTTGTAAGCTCCTATAACTATTTCTGTAGGCAAATATCTAAAAGTGAAAACTACTGGATCATGTCAGATACTTTTAATTTATGCTAATCATATTTTATAACTCATGCAGGCTACCTTAAATCTTTCCTAGAACACAAAGAGTTGGAACTTTACTTTGAAAAGGTAAAACTGAAAGAGAGAACTTTGTCTTTTCAGGAAGCCCACAGAACTAGAAGTAGGTCAGGAATGTTTAATGGAGGAGGGACAGACTGAGGGATTTTTTTCTTTGTGGTCTTCACTCTCCTTTGTACCTCTCTTCTCATTTAAACAATAGGAAACATTTTGGACAACAGCCTATGGCATGAACCAATTATGAAGGGAAGGCATTCTAACTGATGAAATGATTCAGCAACAGAGCCAGGAATCCTCTCAGACAGTTGGCATCCCATCGCTGGAACTGTTCAAGATGAAGCCAAATGGCCTACAAGAAAGACCACATAGTGTTCTGGTTGAAACAGATCCTGGAGTCAGGATGCCTGGATTGTTTTTCCCTTTTGCACATTACTGAGGATTAAAACTATGGCCCTGAACATGCTAGGCAAGCACTCTACCACTGAGCTATATCCCCAGCCCAAGGATGTTAGATTTGAATTCTGGTTCTGATACTCAGCTGGGAAACCTTAAGCAAGTCACTTTTTCTTTGGGGGGTGGGAGTTAGAGGTAAAATTTTCATCTCAGATTGCCCCTCCCAATTCCCAATCCCCACCCACAATCTCTCCCCAACATCAAGAGCAGAGAGTAAGAACCATTATGGGGACCCTTTAAAATTTAAAACCTTGTAAAGTAGGGTTGGGGATGTGGCTCAAGCGGTAACGTGCTTGCCTGGCATGCGCAGGGCACTGGGTTCGATCCTCAGCACCACATAAAATAAAATAAAGATGTTGTGTCCACCGAAAACTGAAAAATAAATATTTTTTTTAAAATTCTCTCTCATTTTCTAGCTCTTTTTTAAAAAAATACTTGTAAAGTTACTTAACATTTTTGTGCCTCAGTTTATTCACTGGTAAACAGTAATAACAGCACTGACCTCATGGGGTTGTTACCCATCATTTGTTCTCTGCATGTAACTTTCAAGGCATCAAGAAGAGAGCTCAATGGTAGAGCATATGCTCAGCACATGCAAGGGGTTGGGTTCAATCCCAAACACCAAAAACAAACTTAAATTTTTTCAAAAGAAATAAGGAAATTAGTTTTCTGAGACTATATGCTTTGTAGCAGTTTTTTGTTTTGTTTTATTCCATGAAAGTTTAAATGCTCAAGAACTCTACTTCCAATTCTTTGGGACTAGGTCAATTGCAGAGCTGTTTGGGGAATAGGGTTATAAAAAGGAAACTAGAAAACATATAGGAATTGGAGGGACCATCATAAGGTAGAAACCAAATACTTCTAGGAAACTCTTGAGGGAAGCAGGAAGGCATCATATCTCATCATGATGAGATAGAAAGCACAATGAATGGGAGTCAAAGACTGGAGTTTTGGTTCTAAACATGTCACCATTGGGGCAGGGGTTGTGGCTCAGCAGTGGAATGCTTGCCTAGCGCGGGCAAGGCCCTGGGTTTGATCTGCAGCGACACATAAAAACAAATAAAAAAATAAAACAAAGGTATTGTATCCAACTACAACTAAAGAATAAATATATATATATATATATATATATATATCTCACCATTGATACCTGGGCTGACTTCATCTATCTGAACCTCATTTTTCTTTAAACAATATCATCTCTACATACTTTACTCATTTCAGTTCACAAAATATTTAAGGGTTTATCAATCAGCACTCAAGTTCAAGGGATAGTTTGCAGTTCAGGCCCTCATGTTAACACAAATAAAAGGCTGTATTATGCAAAGCCCCTCCAGCAAGGAGACAAATAAAGAGAATCCTGGAAGGCTAAGTAAAACTATGATCTAATTCCACCTTCAGTAAAACTGGGTGCTCATTGAGAGTTCTGTTTTCAAGGGAACAATATGACTTAGATGCTTCTTCCAAAGTCACAGAACCATAGACTGTCAGAACTGAAAAGGTAAAGAAGAGGATCAGAAAGGTTAAACAGCCTGTCTGGAGGTTATGCCTCCAGAAAGTGGCAGATCCAGGACTAGTTCAAACATTTTCTCACTTACCCTCACTTTATGGAAGTGTGGGGACTCAGGGCCTAGCATACAGTATCCCATCAGCAAGACCAAGAAGGCAAACACTAATGGGGAGCAGGGGAGGGGCAAAAACTCAGTATTCAAAACAAATACTCTAATGCATGATTTTAAAACTTTTAAAAATCCCTGAACAAAATATAAAAAATTTAAATAAGGAGAGTATCTGCCTCTGCACTTGTACAGTAATGCCTCACCCATCTCACCTTAGTCTTGGCCTTTTTTTTTTAATATTTATTTTTTTTAGTTGTAGTTGGACACAATATCTTTGTTTTTATTTGTTTATTTTTTTATGTGGTGCTGAGGCTCGAACCCAGGGCCTGGAAGGCGCTAGGTGAGCGCTCTACCACTGAGCCACAACCCCAGCCCCTTGGCCCCAGTTTGAATAAAATTTTGTTTACAATAAAAGATGGCAGACCACAGCCTGTCATTGCAGATTTGATTATTTGAAATATATTTTTATTTCTGTACTTTTAGATGCTCCCATAAGTACTTCCAAGGAAAATGACTCATTCTCCTCACCCTAGCCCTACCTCTGGGCAAGACAAGGAATTCTGGGATCTCAGGCACAGAACATCAGAAGTTTCCTAACCTAAGGTTCTTGTCCTCCCCCCACAGGCGTCTGTAAATGAGTTCCTTTAATTACAGGCAAAGTGCTTTGTTCACAAATTTTTTCCCAGGAAAATGGTTCTTAGTTTTCATCCAATTCCTGAAAGGACTCCAAGAAGGTTAAGAACCACTGCAACAGGGGCTGGGGTTGTAGTTCAGTGGTAGAGCATTTGTCTCACATGTATGAGGTACTGGGTTTGATCCTCAGCACCACATAAAAATATATTCTGTCCAACTACAATTGAAAAAATATTTTTAAAAAATAAATAAAGGGGGCTGGGGCTGTAGCTCAGTGACAGAGCGCTTGCCAAGCATGTGAGGCACTGGGTTCAATCCTTAGCACCACATAAAAAATTACATGCTGTCCATCTACAACTATAAAAAATAAAAATAAGTAAATAAAGGAACCACTGCCAGAGTGAGGCAGGAACTTGGCTTTTACTAGTTCTCAACCTGCTCCCCTTTCCCTATATCCTTACCCCCTTTTCCTTTTCTTCCTACCTAAAACGTACCTTAAAAGGTTAGTATTTTCACTTCTACTTAAGCGCAAGCACCCTTTTAAGACACAAAGCCCAGGGCATTGCTTATTAACTACACCTCAAAACACTTGACTCAAAGAAAGTCTCCTCAAATAACAATTAAAGTAATGGGCAGGAGCCCTGAGAAGTATCTCAGAGAGGCCTTTCCCCTCAAATCACACCTCACCAAGAGTCCTTGGAGGCTTCCTAACTCTTAGTGTGTCGGGATACCTCCAGATGGCTACAACCAACACCCTTTCGAGGAGTTGTGGAGCATGAACAAAGGCAACACTTGCTGTAAAAGATATCAGTTTCGCCAAGCCTGCAACTCAGCAAAACTGGGCCGGGCCTGGACTAGCCTCAGAGAAACTCGGACCCACGAGCCCAACACCGAGACCGGAAGTGCGGGGGCGGGGCCGCAAAAGGGCTCACGGGAAAGGGGCGGGGCCACAGTCCTGGCAGCTGCTTGGGCCCTGATTGAAAGTTGCTGAATGGTCTCCTGTTTCTCTTGCTACCTATGTTACTGCAGTGGAACTGGCAAATATTTACCTTGTGACTGAAAATATTTGGCTGGAGCCAGATGCGTCGCGTGTCTGTCCCTGAAATATTAGCTAAAGGAGTGATTTAGCAAAATAAAATGGTGGGTGGGGCACCTGCCTGGCGGAGATGTTTACTTTCCTCGGGCTCCTGCTGAGCGAGTGGAGCTGCCTAACAATCCCAGAGGGAATGTGAACAGCTGGGGAGCGAGCCAGACACAGAAAGAAAGGGTCTGTTTTGGTTTGGAGCAGGTAGTTTTACATAAATCAGAGATGTGGAAATACACATCTTCCTTAAAGGCTTTTAATAATGCTCTCGTAACAGTTGACCCTGGAGAAGTAAACGAAAGTGTTTTGTTACAGCTTTTTTAATTGTAGAGAGCATCTGAAATAAGGGCATATTGACAGTCCCACTCAGAAATGCTGCTGTTCCCCTGGCATTGTGGTGCACATTTGTAACCCCAACTGCTCTAAAGAGGAGGCTGAAGCAGAAGATGACAAATTTAAAGCCAGTCTAGGCAATCTAGTGAGACTCTTGTCTCAAAATTAAAAGGGCTGGGGATGTAGCTCAGCGCTTGTCTAGCACGTGCGAGGCCCTGGGCTCAAGTCTCAGCACTTCACGTGCGTGCCCGCTGCAATTCACAAAACGCAGAGTTGATCAAGGTGCTTACTGTGGGCCTGCCCGTTGTGGTCAACTCTGTTGGCACATCGTCTGTCAGTTCTCAGAACCAGCACAAACCCAGAATGAGTTATCCATTTTAGAGAATCAGCTTCAGAGACACCTTGAGACTTGCCTACAGTCTCACAATTCCAAGCCGGAATTGGAATCCAGACACTCAGACTCTCTCTGCTCATGGCTTCCCCTCCCTTGAGAACCTAGTAATTGTGTGATAACTCTGTGACCTAAAAATCTACAGATGAAGGCAATAGGACTTGTGCTGCTGACTGGTCCGCTTTCCATATCTGTAACCAAAAGTAGCTTTTTTTTTTTTTTAACATTTACTTTTTAGTTGTAGGTGGACACAATACCTTTATTTTTATTTTTATGTAGTGTGGAGGATCAAATCCAGTGCCTCATGCATGCTAGGCAAGTACTCTACCTCTGAGCCACAACCCCAGCCCCAAAAGTAACATCTTTAAAAGGTGTGCTGAGAGATGCTACTGGTGAGAAAAGTAAATGTAAGAATAAAATAACTGCAACTTGGGACTAAGTGGCTCAGCAGTAGAGCGCTTCCCTAGCATATTTGAGGACCTGGGTTCAATCCTCAGCACCACATTAAAAATAAATAAATAAATAAAAGGTATAAAAAATGCAACTACAACAAGTCTCTAATAAGAACTCAAAAAAGAGTCATTATTTCATTACTTTCTTATTAAAATATGAAGAAAATGCAAGGTCATATAAGGGTTTTGGACTCAAGTGATAAAGACTTACGTCTCTAAAGGGCAAAAACAAATATTCAGAAAAGACAAACTGAAGATCTGATTCATATTACAGACTATCCACTTCCTTTAAAGAGTACATTAGTGAATGTACTCTTTAAAACTATAGTCCATGTCAGAAGACCGCTTGCTTAAGAGATTACATTCAATCAAATGGTTACTTTCAAAACAACTAATATTTTTTCTTTTTTGTTTTTGCTGGGGATCTAACCCAGGATCTAGTGCATGCTAAGCATGAGCTATAACATTGTGCTCAATCCCCAACTCCTGATTTTTTTTAAATTAAACTAATCAGTGTGTTTTTTTCTAGAGTTGATTCTGTGTGTTAACACAAGCCATGCAATATGCAATTAGTTAACCAAAATATAATTTCTACCTTCTCAATCATTTCTCCTAGGAACCTTGAAATTATCTTAGTCCCTGCCTCATCTTTGCTACCTGCATCCTGCTCAAAACTTCCAATGTCTTTCCTGTGCACTGAGACAACTGCCCTAACTTGGCATTCTGGGCATTCCTTGATCTGTCTCAGCCTGCCTGAAAGCCCAACTGTTAGAGCAAGAAGAGATTGTAGTCTAAGTCCATCCCCATCACTGAAGAACTTCCTTTCCTCTGTGGAGCCTAGAACCTTCATTGTAAAATGAAGGTGTTGGGATGATCTCTTGGTCCTTATAATGGAACATTCTTGGCATTGTCCCTATAGCCTACTTTTTTGTGTCTTGCCTTTAGGTACCACATACTCCAGCAGCAATGTATTCAGGACCCTGAATATTCCTATCTCTGCCTTCCTTCTTTTACTTGGAATTTCTCTAAAGACTTAAATATAATACCAACTCCCACATGAAACATCCTCAGTTTTCTGGGCAGGAAATCCTTTATTCAGATAGAGAACTACATAGCCTACTATCTGACATCCCCCTCAAACACACAAGCACACACACATACACATTTTTGAACACAGAGATATCATTTGTTTGCCTTCAGGGTCCAAGTTATCTTCATATCCTTCAAAATGCCAACTAAAAAGAAATCATTTAATTAAATAATAGTTGTATTCAGTGAATACTAAATGTTAATTGGTAATAACTGTAAGTAAGTAGTAAATATCTACTATTTTAAAAAATATTTTTGTAGTTGTAGTTTGTACAATATCTTTTATTTATTTATTTTTATGTGGTGCTGAGGATCGAACTCAGTACCGCACACGTGCAAGGTAAGTGCCCTACCACTGAGCTACAGCCCCAGCCTCAATATCTACTAATTTGTAAGCTATTTTTAATATAATGATGATAATACTAATGATGGTGTTTTTTGAATCTGGGGGAATGAAATAAATTGCAAACCCAAAATCCTATGAAAATATACCATTAGTAAGTCTGGGTCCCTAAATATAAAGTTAAAGAAAATACACTCCTTAGAAACATCCAGAAAACCAGTGTTAGGGTTCAAGATTTTCAGTTGCACATATGTAGATATGTTAAAACTTAAACCCAGAGGAACCTTCAAGTTTTTAATGGGTAGTCTGCATCAGACTGTAATCTCAGCATCTTGAAACTCTTCATTCTTCCTGTTACAATAGTCTCACATATTGAGTAATTTTTTTAAAAAAGCTAAAACATAAAAAATAGTATGGCTCATCAATTTAATTGAAAATGATATATAAATAATTTTTTAAATTCAGTGATCAAGTACTACACTAAGGGGGCTGGGATTGTGGCTCAGTGGTGGAGCACTTGCCTAGCATGTGTGAGGCACTGCGTTTAATTCTTAGCACCACATGTAAATAAATAAAATAAAGGTCTATCGACAACGGGAAAATATTTTTTTTTAAATATTTAAAAAATACTACACTGGGGCTGGGATTGTGGCTCAGCAGTAGAGTGCTCGCCTAGCATGTGCGAGGCGCTGGGTTTGATCCTCAGCACCACAAAAAATAAATAAATAAAATAAAGTTATTGTGTTCAACTACAACTAAAAAAATAAATATTTTTTCTAAAAAGTACTACACTAAGCTGCCTCAAGTATTTTAATATATAAATGCCTATAGGTATAACATGACCTGTTCAGAACAGAGACATTACAAATGAATGAAGGCAATAAATTGCTATTGTGTATTTTGAAGTAAAACTTGCAACTTTGGAAAATGTCTCTATGTCTCTGTGTCTCAAGAAAAGGCATTTGATCATGAATGCAAATCAGCACCAAATCCTCAAGCTGGTTGGTGAGAGGATATAGCATCAGTTCCTGGAAGCCAGTAATAAATGTTTTTAAGGCTATCCTGCCTTCTGTCGTCCCTTCTTTTTTCCTTCTGATCCAAAAGTAACACAAAGAAATATAAAATTCAAACATTGCAGAGATACATAACACATATAGCAAAATCTCCCCAAATTCCATCCTAGTTCACTCTATCTTCAGGTAATCATCGTTAGCATCTTGGACACTTAACATATGTTCTTCCAATTTTGTTCCTGTGTATATTAACATTATTATTGTGATCATTTATTTTTACCAAAATGAGATTATGTTTTACATACTACTTAGCAACTTGCTTTGCTGCATGTCAAATCTTACCATTACAATATATGGATGTGCCAGTGCCTTTGCTGAGGGGTTCTTACTGATAGTTCACTCCTTTAAACAATGCTCAGGGAAATATTCTTGTATATTATTATATCTTTTTGCTATGACATTACCTTCAGACAAGGCAGACCCAACTTCAAAAGTTATAGGGAGGAGGTTCAGCAAATTTATCAGTGACAAAGCAGTCAGTCAACAGAGTTGTTTCAAGGAAGATTAGATAAACCACACTTAGGAACAGCAGAAGGAATTGCACCACACCCAAATTCAAGGAAACTTCCCAAGAAGCTTGGATAATCCCCAGCTCTCTGCCCTCCTCCCTCAGCAGCCATCACATGGACCAGGTTTATTTTTGGAGTGTTAACCAGTTATCTTCCATAACCAAGTTTCCTCTGCAAGGCCTAGATCAGGAGGGCATTATCATATTACCATGTGCATATAAATGGATAAAGAACTGATATTATCTGTGAATTACAAGGATTCAAGATGTTCAAGGTTCAAGAAGACTTTTGGTTGGGAGGGATGCATTTGAGAAATCTTTGTGGTATTAGGAGAAAGGAGAGTGGGTTTCTTTGATAGCTTCACTCTTTTCTGGCCACCCAACCCCAGAGTTTCATGCAGAGTTCTGAGTCTGCAGACTCTCTCTGGAGTCCCTGACTGGGAAGGGAGAGTTTCCAAGGTTCCTCTGAGTAGGGGGCTTGCTTTTGCTTTGTTTCTGCTCAGGCAGCTTCCAAACTTGTCAGGTTCTGGTATGACTGAGAAGAGCCACGGCTTCCTACTTGGTGGGAACTGAACTTGTAAGAGCTTGTGGTTT